CCACATCTCTTTGCTCAAAAAAGGGATGTAAATTAGACACTTCCACATTGCAAATGAAGCTGGAACTTACATTTTCTGCGCTTCATTTGCATAATGGCAGCTGCGTTTTTTTTTCAAAATGGGGCTTTTTGATAGAAAAACAGCAGTTTAGAGGGGGATCTTTTGAAAATAAACCCCTTTTTCGAAAGATCCTGGAAACCTCATTTTTTGAGTACAGCGCCCTGCGAATATTTCTGTGACTGTGGCTTCTTACAACAGAAGTTTCAGTAAACAAATGAATTGCTGTTATGTATGTATTTTCCCTTTTTCTACTAAATAACTAACTATGAACGTATAAACATGAGAGGGAGCAATTGTATATTCCTGCCTCAGGCGCAAAATTAGCTCGTTCCGGCACTGAATGAAGGGCAGGTCGAGCAAAACACCTCTTCCTTCTCTTCACATGACTCCCCTCTCCACCCCCCACCTTGTGAGCACCGGCTCTGGCTTGGGGACCCAGAGCCGGATGTTTGGCCCTGTTCCCAGGCACTTTCTGGCTGGAGCCAAAGGAGGCTGAGCAGGGCCACTTGGCTTGGTTTTCCGCTGATCAGTGAGGCAGAGGGAGGTGCTCACCCACCCCGGTCCCTGGGTCGCACTCAGCCGCCTGGCCCTGGTGCCCTGTGGGCATTTCCGCTCCCTGCTGATTGCTGCTTACCAAGGAGATCCTGGGGGGCAAACAGACCCGGCTGGCCATTGCTGTCCCTCCGTTGGACGAACCCAGTGCCAGCCGTGTGGGCCCCTGGCCCCTTTCCCCAGTGCTCGGTTCTGTGAACTGCTTGTCTTGTAAATTCCTAAGGGCCATTTTAGTAGTCCCCCCCCCACCACTGTACTGTATGTTATTAGGTGATTTATGGTAAAGCATGCTGGTGCAAACACCCCAAATGGAGGGGGGGGTGTCCTTTCTTCCCCCGTCCCCATCCCCCGGGCCTCCAATCCAAGTCACCCATTACCTGACTGAGCCGAGCCCCCTCCTCCCACCCCGCTGGGGCAGGGGAAGGTCAGCTCGCCGGCCTTGCACTCAAGTTGTGGGGCTCATGCACGAGGCACCAGAGGCCCGAGTTCAGTTCCCCCTGTCGGCAGTACAGCTGCCCAGGGAGTACGGGGAGGGGGGAATCGGGGAGTGATTCTCCCCCTCCCAGCTGGGCCAGGGCAGCGGAGTCAAACCGGCAGTGCGCTGCTCCCCAAAATCCCCCGTGGGGGGCAGGGCAATGCACAGGGGTGGAAACTGAGGCACAGAACCCCCCAGGGCAGGGACTTATCCCAGGGCTCCCAAGCACTAAGCGATGTCCAAGCTCAGGCACGGCTGGCCCCTGCCCAGACCCCAGGGCTGTGCGGGGTCAGCTGCCCCAGGCATCCCCCCTGGGGGAGGAAGTTCTGCATCCCGCAGCCAGGGCGGGAGCCCGGTGTCAGGAGGCAGCCCCGCCAGGCACAGGGCCTGGACCCCGCTCTCTGGTAACAGCAGGGCAGGGAGAGAACCCAGGAATCCTGGCTCCCAGCTCTGCTGTAACCACTAGGCCCTGCTCCCCTCCCACAATAGGGCTAGAACCCAGGAGCCCTGGATCCCACTCCCCACCCCGCCCAGCCCCTCACAGAGTTGGGACTGGAATCCAGGCATCCTGGGTCCTCCCTGTACTCTCCCCTCCCCCCCAGCCTCCCCATTTGTTGTTCCCAACCAGCTCTGGAGAGGCAGAGGGTTAAATAAATCAGACCATGAGCTTCAGGGCCCTCCCACAATAGGGCTAGAACCCAGGAGCCCTGGATCCCACTCCCCACCCCGCCCAGCCCCTCACAGAGTTGGGACTGGAATCCAGGCATCCTGGGTCCTCCCTGTACTCTCCCCTCCCCCCCAGCCTCCCCATTTGTTGTTCCCAACCAGCTCTGGAGAGGCAGAGGGTTAAATAAATCAGACCATGAGCTTCAGGGGCAAACCTGCCCCCCCACCCCGCACCTGCCAAGCCATTTACACCTGGCCCGGTGCCCTGGTGCTAATCTCGGGCCAGGCTCCCTCACACCCCCTGTTTGCTCT